CCCCCTGCGGCGTGCCCAGTACTGACCTCGTCTGCCCCCCCCCCGTTCCCACCCGCTTTTGCACCCCACCACCACCATGCGTACAAACATACACCATTTTTATTTTGGGGGCCAGGGCCCCGTATCCTTTATTGCTGCCAAAACCACATGGGCTGTACTGCTGCCAAAACCACATGGGCTGGGGGCTGGGGCTGGATGGACAGATACCGCCCCCTACCCATACCCCTCCTGTATGTGGTTGGAAAACTTTGTTGTTGTTTTGTTTTGTTTTTTGCTTTGTGGGTTTTTTTCTGAATAAAAAAAGATTCTAACAAGGTGGGTGTTGTTTGCACTTGGGCATCAGAATGGGGACAGGCAGTGACCTTTTATCCTGGCCTGGAGTTGGGAACAAGAATGTTTAAGTCCAGATGTTTGAGCATCTTCACCTCCGTGTCCAGGGCTGAACCCTCCTGAACTCCATTTTCCTGCTTTCTCCATTCCTCTGTCTAGGACTAAGCCCAGGTGGCCTAGGTCCTCAAGTGTACTAATCTAACTGATAGGTAATGAAATAGAACCATCCAGACCAGAGGATGGATCCAAGTCTGTGGGTAAGGCAGGGTCAGTTGAGTCATTCTCATGCGGAGGTGGGGCTCCCCCTCTGAGTCACAGTAAATGCCTCCTGGGGCTGTCCCCAAGACTCCAGGTTAGTCTCCCAGTGCTCCTTTGTGGTAGAAAAAAGGGTGATGTTCCGAAAAATATGTTTGCCTGTATGAAAATGACCTTACCCTTTCTCAGTTCACAAAAACAATTTTATTAACCCAAGAAATAATGATCAGTCGCTTTCGTCTTCCCCCAACTCCTTCAAAAGGATGGGGCCGAGTAAGGGAGAAACCTGCGATGAAAATAATTCCCTGTCCTTCCAATTCTAAGACTTGAGGGAGGAAGGCCTGTGCAAACAGGTTACCAGAGGTGCTGGGTGTGGGAGCCTTAAACTGGGATGGCAGGTAAACAGGAAGGAGAGGGTGGGGGATCTGCTGAGGGCCCAGGAAAAATAAGGGGGGCTGGGGCTAAGGAACCAAACGAAGTAGGAAGAGTGGGGCTAGAGCCCAGAAGTGGGGTCCGTTCTGAGGCCAGATGGTCCCTTGGCTCCCCTTCTTCATCACCTTCTTGCCCCTGAGTTTCGTCGCCATCCTCATCCCCAGGACCCCGATGAACAGGCTGCTTGCAGATAGGGCAAGTCTTACGGGTCTGAGTGAGCCAGGGGTCCACACAGCGGCTGTGGTAGGCTGCAAATAAGAATGAGGTGAAGTACCTGGTGCCTGTTGGTAGGGTGGGGGCCCTTTCACAGGCAGTGAAGGCCTCACCATGAGCACAGGGGAGGACCCGAAGCTTGTCCCCATCCTCATACTCGTCCAGACAGATTGCACAGACATCATATTGGTCTCCTAGGGGAGAAAGGAGTCTAGTACTTCGCTGAGCTATTCTGAACCAGGGCCCCCAAGAATTCACCCTGGAAGGCTTGTGGTAGAACTAAGTCCTACAAAAATTATTTTCCCTGATTCTACAGAACCACAGAGAAGCTAAGGCTAGGGGAGGCAAGATTAGGCAGAATATGGAAGAACGGGGGATGGAGGGGAAACCTGGGGCTGAAAGGGACAAGTACAGGAGCAGAGGTAAGGGAAGTGGGTTTGGGGTGGGGGGGCGGGTTGAGGGTGAAAGACAATGGGAGGAGCGGAAATGGGGAGGCAAGGCTTCTGCTATATCCTTATATGGGCACAGGAGGCTCCAAGGCCTGAAGACCCAGCCCCCTCTTACCTGTTTCTTCTCAATCCTCCACATTCCTTCCATTTCTCTGCTCTCTCCACTTTCTCCCTTATACCCAAGGTCTACCATTTCTCCCACCTACTTCACTTAATCATCTTTGCTTTCCATATCCAGTGCTATTTCCTTTCCTGTCCTCATTGCACATGTGCGAAAAAGAAAAGGTGGCTTCTCAGGCTGAAACCCTCAGTCCCTATCTTCATATTACTACGTCCTGGGCTCAGACTCCTTCAGAGCCAGGTAAACTATAAGAAAGACTCTCTTCCCCTCCTATGTGCTCACCCTTCTGATAGTCATGAGTGGGAATCTGTTTCAGTTGCTCTTTGGTAAGTCGATTCCGCTGGAGCCTTTTCCTGTGCTGGATACAACGGACTATCTAGGGAAAGGGTGAGTGGATAGATTGGGCTTAGGGAAAAAAACTGGGCAATCTAGCACAGTGATAGAGACAAGTGTCCAAACTGCAACCCAGAACCCACTTAATGCAAAGTGGCAACAATGCAATTAAACCCAAATATTGAGGTCTTAGTTTAGAAAAAAACAACCATACATTATTAACATGTGCCTTAAAAATAAAACAACACACATGCCACCACTGATCTAGCACATACCCCCCACCCATCTCCAGATTCAGTGTGGCCTTATAAGCACCAGTTCTTCCCCTAAGATTCCCTGAGCTACCCACCATGACTGCTCCCATGGCCAAAACCAGTAGTCCTACAATTCCAGTGAAAGGAATGAGGTAGTAGCCCAAGGGGAAGCTGTTGTCTGGAACCAGAAGCACCCGAGCCCTGAGGAAAGAAGATCCATCTTAAGAGTCAAGATCAAAACTTTAGGTCTGGGGATTTAGCTCAGTGGTTCTGGTGCCTGCCTCACAAGCTCAAGGACCCAGAGTTTGATCCCCGGTACCCCCTCCAAAAAAAAAAAACAACAACAACAAAACTTTAAAGGAAGAGGGACAAGGTAACTGGGTCTGAACAGGGCCCATGTAGGGAAGAGAGTGGGAAGAAAGTCAACAGGTTGGGCCAGTGATGTAGCTCACTGGTGCCGTGCCTGCCTAGCAAGTGCAAGGTCTTGAGTTTAATCCCCAGTATGGGAAGAAGAAAAAAAGTCAACAAGTAGGGGAGGAAGGATCTGAGGCTGAGTGGTTGGAGCAATGAGGCCTGGGCTCCAGGTTAACATGGAGCTGCTGAAGAGGGAAAGAGTCGCATGTCCTACCCCTTCTCGTAGACAAAGAGGGCACGCAGGTATTCAGCACTCCTCTCTCCAATAAACACAGATGGGATCCAAATCTGCTGCTGGATTTCCTCTGCAAGGATCAGGGCATTACACTATGAACTCAACCTTCTCTCCTAAAATTCTTTGTGGACCCTGGCATTTGGCACTTTTGACCGCACCCCACTCTACCTTTTCTGAGCCTCCAGCCTTCTCCCTATCTCTGAATCTGAGCTCTACTGAAAACCCAGCTATCCAGATCCCCCATCTTACCGCTATTCCACACCATGTTCAGCAGTTCGTTGGAATTCACATTGTGTACCACAGCTGCACCATAACCAGCCTTCTGAGCATTTAGGACCTAGGGAGACAAAGCAGGAGATAAGGAACCAACACAGGCCTTGCTTTCTTTATGCCAGGTGTTTTTGTTCACCCTCAGCTTCCCAGCTCCCATTCCACATTCAGCAACCTTGAGGTCAAAGTTGCAGTCGAATCTTCGAAGCAGTGCAATAAAGACTGACCCATTGACTGGGGGTGGTGGGGCAATAGGACTGCAGGCATTTTCTGGGTGAGCCTCCACAAGGAACCCCTGAAGGACAAAAGCAAACAACAGCTGGATTTGTCCTAGGTTGTTTCCCACAGGGCCCACCAAACACACTTCCCTCCTCTGCCAGCTACACACCTGTTCTCCCTTATTCATGGGATCTGAGTATCCTACCCAAGTCTGAGGTCTACATCTCTTAGCTTCTTGAAGATGCAGTTACAGCAAATAATAACATTCCATCATCTGATCCTCTGACTACCTCTCTCCATTTCAAATGGGCTAACCGATACTTTAATTCAATTGTTTCCCAGTATCCTGGTTGTAATTCATGTCACACTCACAAAATGTTCCACCTTTCCTTCTTTAGTACACACACAGACTATACCTTCCTCCCTTCAATTTTACAACTACCCATCCACAAATAATTTTGCTGACATCTATGGCCTGTCTAGGATCTTGTAATACTAAAGAATTGCTTACCTGATTCACTACTCACAAAATAACCCTAATTTGTTGTTATCTTATAATACATTAAAACAAAGACTATGACCTTATCGTAGGCCATACACCAATAATGGGCTTGAGACCCTATTGATGAGCACCACTTCGTCCAGCATTTTTATCTTAGTACATTTTCAGTGTCCCTCATAAGTTTGGAGTTTCAGGGTGAACAGTCTTCTACTTCTAGATTCTGGATTCCACAGTAAATGTAGACAAGCACTTAGTTCCTAACTTGACTTTTTCTACCCAGCTTCACTCAGGGCAAGGCTCCTGACTCCCGCCCAGGATAGAGGATATGGGGAAGCAGAAAACTGGGAAAATCACCTGGAGTCCCTCCTGGCTCAAGGTAGCCCCAAATAGAGCTGGAAGGTCTGCAAAATCCATACTGGCATTGTGCTCCGAGGTCTGCAGACAAAAAATGGCCATGTTTCTCCTCGGCCTGCAACTCCCTCCCCTCAGCGCCCTTCCCCCGACCGCCCTTTAGACTCACCGCTCGAATGAGCCCCTGGATGGGGGTCGCTCCCCACAGCACAGTGGCCACAACCACAGGAAGTGGGAAGACCGCAGAATGCATGGCAGCGGGAGGACAAATGCTGTGGAGGTTGCGTCCTCGTAGCAGGAGCAGAAGCAGGGTTCTGCGCCCTTCAGGATCCCAGGGGTCCAGCCACCCCCAGGTCCCACCTCTCAGCTACATGGGGGCGCCGGGGAAGGAACTCCAACTCGGGAAAATACACAACCCGTTTGATGGAGCTAAGAGAAAGACACTAAATGTACCCTTTACTGGTGTAGAGAGAAAACGGAGAAAAGGAACAGAGGCAAACACGAGTGACAGAAAAACTTCTGGAAGGGTGGGGGTGCGCAAGGAGGTGGGACTTCCGGCCAGGTGGGCAGTCTTCCTAGCCCCTGGAAAAGGGTTTCCGGTAAAGAAAGTCAGGCCGCTTCCAGCATTGGACGGTCGTATGAAGGACTTCCGGTTCTAAAAGGCCGGTTAGAAGAAGTGTTACAGGTGGAGGAATACCCAGAAGACGGTCTAATCGTTTCCCTTTAGTACCCGGGGTTCCTCCAAGTTACCTTGTTTACAAACCTCTCTGGCTGCCGTCGCTGTCGTACCAAGTCTCGCGAGAGCGTTTACAGTTCTCCAACTCCCCTCCTCTGACCACTCGCTGCTGAAATCTTGCGCTATCACGAAAGACTTTCCAAGTCCGGCTAGTCTGACTCGCTTGCTCTTGCGAGACCTTCAATAAAACTATTTTCCCGCGATTTCAACTTGGTAAAAACAGCCTGTAATCTGTGTTCTTAAACCAACCACACCCCTTCTCCTTTGCCTCTGAAGCTCCTCCTTCAACTCCGCCTTACTCCCGGCCGCCTTTGCGCTGCGCGCCTGCGCCAGCTCCCCCTTCCAGCTAGTGCTGGACCGAAGAGCTAGAGGGGCGCGCGCGCGCGCCC